TAGCGATAGGAATAACATGATTTCAACCTATCAGAAATCGGATATATCGGAATACGCAGTTTCTGATAGGTTGAAATCGTGTTATTCCTATCGCTATCGCTATTCCCTCGCATTGTGTCTCGGGCTTACCAGTTTCTTTCATCATAGACCTGTTCTTTTTAGCTGAACTTCTATGCGGTTCATCTTTCCTCTTTTTCTCTCCAAAGGGAGAAAAGAAAGAAAGATGAACCGTGCAAGAACTTTAGCTAAAAAGAACAGACTTCATGAGATAGGATTAGGTTAGGTAAATTAATCTGGACGGAGGGGAAGAACAGCAGAAGGGGCGGGGCGGACAGTGGAGGAGGAATGCCACGACCAAAGTGATTGAGTGGTGGCTGTGACGGCGGAGTGCGGTGGAGGCGGCTCTTTCAGGCGTTTCGTCCACGATCCATGATTGTTCCGATTCGACGGATTTCCGCCGTGTCAGCTGTTTCTTGGCGAGAGGAGGAAAAATCCCGTTCGCTGAACGTCAAGCAAGCGACGCGCCCCGACGTTAGCAGTAGTGTGGCGGACTCGCAATCCAACGACTCATCCGTGTGTGTGTGTGTGTGTGCTCTGGTCTGGTGTGCTCCCGCGTGCATTCAAGAAAAAATGCAGGCGAACAGCAACGGCGCTCCGGCTTCGCCGAGAAAGAAACAGCGGACGTCCACCGTGTCGAAGGTCACGGTAGTCCTCGGCGCGCAATGGGGCGACGAGGGCAAGGGAAAGGTCGTGGACATGCTGGCGATGGAGGCTGACGTCGTCTGCAGATGTCAGGTACGGTTTCTCTGGGTTTGCCTTCGCGTTCCATGTTCGAATCGCGCCGCGTGGCGCGTCTCTCTCTCGCTTCTCATCTCCGATCCCATGGCGCTCTCCTGACTCCTCGTGGCTCCTCGAGAGCCAAGAGATTCACAAGATAATATTTCCCTCTTGCGGAACGCGAAACAATTGAATATTTCCCCTTCGGAGAAAGAACTAGATATTTTCCGGCCCTTTCGCGCTGCTTGATCGAGGGACGGCGCGATTGAAGGGTAGCCCAGAGAGAAAATTAGGTTAGATCACGCGACATTTCCGGGAAAGACTAAAAATATTTCCTCGAAGGCAATTCCTCGTTTGGCATCCGTTGCTCTCCCCGCAGATGACAAGCGAGTACTCGGAAAACGCGAAAGAGTCATACGTTTCATTCGTCTTAGTTTTATTTTTAGCCACAACCGCGTTAGCGCGTGTCACCTGACCTGTGCGCGCGAGTATCGTGAATGTATAACAACCTGATGTCTGATATTACATAATTGACGGCCATAAAAGAAATATATTTCCAAAAGAGGGAGAATTAACTCACGGAGTTATCGTTCTCAGTCTATCTTTATGACTTAAAAAATGACGAATTATTTTTTTATCTTTCACATATCATAAAAACATAAAGCTTTTGTTTTATCTCTTTCAAGGACAGTCTTAACGATGGACATAATTAATGATGGAACCAACGTTCTGAATAATTAATCGATTTATGCTAATATAAGAAAATCAAAATTGTGTGATATCAGGGTATTATGCATATATGCATCCGTATCTGTGCAGGAGAATTAATAATGTTAAATACATGTACATGATGATTAGAAATACGTTATGTACGATTGGAATTAATGTGCTGTTTTTTAAATAGAGTTCAATGAAATTATATATAAATTGTATTATATTATAAATTATAATACATTCATATAATAAAATATTACTTCACATTGTTTTCTTTTTTGCCCTTTTCTTATTTTTTACCTCTAATATGGTAAACTTGTAATATACTTGTATCCGGATTTCAATGTCATTGTTTATGTTGGTGGGAAACCTTTGTCTATTCTTGATTTACAATTCAATGATCAAATCATAACGCGCTGTATTTCCTGTCATAAATAATGGCGAGCCCTGTTTCTTCAAGTATTAATGTAATTTCACAGGGAGGAAATAATGCAGGGCATACTGTAGTTGTAGAAGGTGCCGAATTCGACTTTCACCTTCTGCCTAGTGGAATAATCAATCCCAGATGCAAATCCGTAATAGGTAATGACTTCTTCAAATCAACCAGTAAATTAATCGAATTATAGATATTCTGGTTTGTGAAAAAGTAACATCTCTCTGACGATTTTAATAATTAACGTAAAATGAAAGAATATAGAATAATACTTTATGAAGATAAATGAGATGCTAAGATCACATGGATACATAAAACAGACAATTATTCCACTTGTTCATACATATAGGTTGCTCTATATCTCTTGATATGTATTAAATTGTTATCTGAATAACAGAACTCTCTGCTATATGTCACAAATTATATAATCGATATTATTTATTTGTACTTTCTTATGTTTGCAGGCAATGGAGTAGTGATTCATTTACCTGGTCTGTTTGAAGAATTGGAGAAGAACGAATCTAAGGGACTTAAGGATTGGCAGGACAGACTTATAATATCGGATCGAGCACATATAGTGTTTGATTTTCACCAACAGGTCGATGGGTTGGAAGAACTAGAAAAGGGCACGCAGTCATTGGGGACTACAAAGAAAGGTATAGGACCGGTGTATTCGGATAAAGCCGCTAGAGCTGGACTCAGGATTGGAGATCTTCTCGGAGACTTTGACAAGTTCTCCCAAAAGTTTAAAACCTTGGTTACATCGTACCAGAAAATGTTCCCTGCTCTGCATGTTGATGTTAAAGCCGAATTGGAGCGTTACAAGGTGTAAGTATAATGACCATCTTCCAATTTAATTGTAGCTCCAGTCATTAAGTGTATGCTTTACAATATATGGTTGATTTTTTCACAGATACTCTGAACGTATAAGGCCGTACGTAAGGGAAACGGTACAATATTTGCATCAGGCTTTAAAGGATGGCAAGAAAGTTTTGGTGGAAGGCGCCAATGCAACGATGTTAGATATCGATTTTGGAACTTATCCATATGTAACAAGTTCGAATTGTAGTATAGGCGGAGTACTGACAGGTCTCGGTTTACCATGTAGCACAATCGGCGAGATAATTGGCGTAGTGAAAGCCTATACTACTAGAGTCGGCGATGGGCCCTTCCCCACGGAACTTTTTGATTCTACAGGAGAACTGTTACAAAAAAGAGGCCATGAGATCGGCGTGACCACAAAGCGGAAGAGACGATGTGGATGGCTCGATTTACCGCTGTTGAAATTTACGACTCTAGTTAATGGGTGTGTGTAAAATAATTTCTTATTAAAAAACATTTTTTTAAGGATGTTGGTGAGAGGGCCGAACTTCGACGGAATCACCGTTTTACTGATTAATGCGACTTAAGATTGCTGAATAGTCATCATAGTCATATTGGACTGCAAATATTTAAAAAAAACTGCAAATATCGTAATAAATATTCCGAATCGACGCTAGAACCCGATAACAAAACTAATTTTTCAATATTTTTTTATATGAAATCATTTAGTTCTTGTCTATTAGCGCCGGGACACTACCGTGTCTCCAGATATTTTAATTATGAAAAAAAATTTATAATTCTGTGTAATTAACAAAAAGATTACCTTATTTGAAAAAAAATTGTGTTTGATCGGTAAAACATTACTTCAGCATCATCTTTTATAATTGCTCGATATAAATTTAATACAATATCACTTTTACCATAATCTATATATAGAATGTTCTGTCTGTTATTCTAGATACACCTCTATATGCTTAACAAAGCTTGATATTCTGGATACATTACCAGAGATAAAAGTATGCGTTGGATATCGATTAAATGGGAAGGACATAGATTATTTGCCGAGTAGTACTTGGGAATTAGCAAAAGTCGAAACAGTATATAAAACAATCGAAGGTTGGCAATCCACTACCGAAGGTGTACGTTCCTTGGATAAATTGCCACCTAATGCACATAAATACATACAAATTATAGAGGAATACTTAGATGTGCCAGGTATGTAATTGCTTTTTGTACATGTATGCAATGCATATGTGAATCTACGAGAGAATTAGATATATATAGAGTAATTTGTATTTGATTACAGTCAAATGGATCGGCGTAGGAGCAGGACGAGAAAGCGTAATCGCTCTCTGACGACACACGATCCCTATAATGTTACTTAAACGTACGGCATTAAATGTATTATTAATTTTAATTCTATCTGTAACATTTGCAATGCAAAGCTGATGAGCGCACAGGCGACATATTGTAATAATAAGATTTCAGCGCGCGAGCGCGCGATTGTAGTATTAATTTTGAATTTGAGCAATGTATAATTATAACAACAATGTGAATGTTTAGTCATTTTGTAGTATGTAACAAATGAACCGAAAATTATTAAAAATATTCGTTATATTATCCATTTAAAATAAATGGATAATACAACGAATTCTTTACGATTTATTTGAAATAGCTATTCTGTTTTATTAGAGATATGTATTGAAATGTTTGTCAGTTTTATTATCTTTTAAATCATTTCTGTTCATGTTATTTGAGATAATTCGCTAAATGTGCTGAATTTGATAGTATATGCTGTCATAATCTTGTTGAAAAAGTTGAAATGTGCAAAGAAAAAAATATATATATCGGCATATTAAAAAAAACATTTAAAATCCTTCATAAATTTGATTTAAAAATCCGACATTTGGCTTGCGCGTGCGCACTGTCACTGCGATCCTAACCTGCAATTGTGGTGTCAAATCAGTATGTGAGCGTGTGTACTGTACTTACAGAGGCTAACTTTCCACGAGCCGATGGAACATATAAACAAAGTGTTAAATAACTAATAGGTTGACTACACTTGAACACTCCCACAGGACTAGAAAAAAAGGTATATATATAGTTACTTTTCTGTAAAAAAAAAAAAACGATTATTTACTGACTGTCAAGAGAGATAAGCATAGTTTTTGTCCATTTTTACAAATGTTTTAAAGCGACCTTATCATTTTGTTTTCTTCACATTGTCTTTATTTACAAATGGTACGTGACAAAAATTAATGTGTCATTTCTCGCTTCTGACGTTACGATTCAATATCATTCAATATGGCTCAGGTGACTTTTAAGTAAATACAAATCCAATGTCAAAATTGACAAATTCAAAATTTGAAAGACTTATACATATAAATTTTCGCAATAATTCGAATATTTTTTCAAGTTTTGAATCCACCATATTAAATCTACCATATAAATACCATTTAATCATAACTATTTTAACCATAGTCGGTACTGTAAATTCCTTTTGAGTGCTAAAAGCCCTAAGAATGTATGTACTTCATTTTGATTGAAATAAAACTTCTTCAGTTTACGTAATACTATATATCGCACTTACAATATGGCTAAGTACCTGAAAATAGCTTTTTTGTACTGTAAATTTTCTCAAAATTGTAATGTAATGGAGCAATTTGGAAATCGGATTCGTATTATCCAAAAAACTACGAGAAATGGCTTGTCTTATTTCAGTATTCGGAAAAAAGGCATTTTTTGTTGAATAGTATAATTAATGATGATGATTCACGGACAGACAGCTGTTTAGCTGTAATCTGTAATTATAACTAGTTTTAATATCTATATTTCAAAAACAATTAATCGGAATGAAAAATGGCAAATACTTTTTAAACTTATTCATTTTTGTAGAACTTTCTTATTGTGGTATTTCGACTTGCGAATTTCAGGACACTTTGTATAGAGATTGATTTTAATATTTATTATCGATTGTTACATTTAATATGGATTATTAAATAATATAATTTTTAAATCTAATGTCTTACTTTAGAATTACAAAAAAGTAACGAATCGTTACTTTCTAAATAAAACGTAACGGTAACGCATTACTTTTAAAAATTAGTAATCAATAACGGTGTGACGAGTTATAAAAAAAAAATATTAACAGTAATGTGTTATTTGTATAAAGTAACGTTTCTAACGCTGTTTAACATTAATATATGCGTATCTTTAATCCATTTTCATAGAAAAAGAATTAATATTCAAAATTAGATAATACAATAATTATTACCACAATAAACATTTCTATTTGAATACCCGTATGCTATGTTTACTTACTGTTTCACAAACATTCCTCTATATTTATGAAACAGTGCGTACTTTGCATGTGAAATGTGTTCCGTTTTACATATTTCGACGAATTGTGCGGCGATCAGTAGAATCAGATGTGTCTTGAGTCTTAATTTACCTTATAAAAAGTAAAGAAGAAAAATCATGAAGTCAATGGCTTGAAATAATTGAGATGAAAGTAGGTAAGGTAATGTGAAAGCACCCTACATTTTCAAGTAATTCGATAAATATTTGACATCTTTATGTGATGGTACGAGACGAGATAACTCTTCCAACTGGAAGCACTTTCTAAAAAGAGTCATCTTTATATTCAATTGTTTGTATAGAAAATTTAATTTATATGATAACTGATATAAATCTAAAATTATTAACACTATATATATTATTATATTTTTTACTTTTAATAAAAAGAATTTTATAACAGCAAAAGAATCTTTATAAAAATCGATGTAATTCGTCTTGTATATATAATTGTATTACTTTTATTAGCTATAAAATGATTTGTTTGATAATTTTGTTTGATCCATTAAAAATTACAACAGGGTACCTATCATCATGTAATAAATCGGAATGGATTCCGATCGAAATTATTCAATAATTCCCTAAATATTTCTATTTCTATTGGAATTTTCTAGAGAAAACGGATTAATTCTGATTGGAATTCATTTGGATTTGTTCTATGATAGGGGGGTGTCTAGTATATGCTTAAGCAATACACACTTAATAAGATATTAGAAATTTATATAAAGATAGCAGCAGATGCAATAAACATTGATTACGTACTAGATAACGATAAAATTTTACATGAAATAACAATTTTTTAATTGCTACAATTGCTATAATCGCTTTAATTGCTATAATTGCTATATAAAAAACAAAATAGGTAATTCTAACAAATACCTTATTTGATTACGATAGTTTTGCATGCAATAACAATCTTTAAATTGTTGTATAATATACGTAACAGTAATGAGAAATAAAAAAAGAGTGGACATGTGCAGAATGTCCCGAAGTTTGCGAATTAAAATATTATAGCAAGATAATTTTTTGGAAAAATTAATAAATTAAGTAAAAAAGTTATTTGGGAATTTTTTTAGCAGTAGTTTTTGAGATGTAAGGATTTAAAATGGCCAATTGTAGACCTTTAAACGATCATCTGATTAGTGAGTAAGTATTAATAAGAAATGCGCACTCACTATCGCGTATGCGCGATTCATGGACAGGTGATCGTTTAAACGAAATCTGTAATTAGTCATACTTAAATCCTTATTATCTCAAAAATTACTATCCAAAATAAAAATTTACAAATAACTTTTTTATTTAATATTTTAAGAACTTTCTTGCTATAATATTTTCATTACTTAATTTTGGGATACCCTGATAGGAGAGATAAAATTGAAAAATAATTTTAGAAAGGAAATTCTGGATGCTTTGATAGGCCTTTAAAAAAACTGAAGTCACATACGCGTGCAGATTCTCCCATATCCAGAGCATTTAACTTGTCGACATCTTCAACTTCGAGTTCCCAATCGAATAACTCTATGTTCTGTTTAATTCTTAGACGATTAATGCTTTTCGGTATTGTCGCTATACCTTTTTGGATTATGTGCTTAAGTGCTATTTGTGCCGGCGTTTTGTCATATTTTTGAGCGATTTCTAACACAGTTACGTTTTTTAATGAGTCCGGCACAACGTCTCCTTTTCCTATTTTCTGGACAAATCCACGTGAACCCAAAGGAGAGTACGCCGTTACACTGATGTCGTTATCCTGACAAAACTTCACCTGTGACACAAAGAGAATAGCAATATATATATATTTTTAGATTGATAAAGTTACAATCACGAAACTAATTTTCCAGATCGTCATTTATATCAATGATTTCTTCAAACTGTTTTTCGGATGTCAAAAATTGTAATTCCACGAACGCATTACGTCTTACTGATAGTTTTACAATTAGTTATCGAAATATAAATATAAATAATAATAATTTCATTTTTAGACCGTACATGTGAGAACACAATCGATAAACTAGAACTCTATATCGGTCGAAATTAGATCTTAAAATGCTTAAATAATTCAATCTTGAATCTAATCATTAAATATGCTATATATGTACTTAACATATATACCACACCTGTAGTCCAACAAACTGCACGCCGAAAAATTTCCGGATTATACAGGGTGTATTTAAAATAACTTACACTGATCATACAGTGCTATTCCTAATAAAAAACGTATTTAGTAAAAATTATTGAAAATCAATATTCAGCGATTTTTAGTAATTAATATCTTGTTAACTATTACGAAAATTGCAAAATGGTAGAGGACTTTTCGACTCAGTATTTTATTAGGAATAGCACTGATTAGTGTACGTTATTTCAGATACACCCTGTATAAACCGACTCACATATACCGATTATTGCGAAGAATATTACTAAGACCTCGGTAGTCTAATGGCTTAGGACGCTCGTACGGAATACAAGAGATCCAGGTTCAACTGCCGGCCGAAGTAATATTTTTCGCAATAAATTTAATTACAGTTTTTTCAACATATTAAGATCTTGGAAATATGATGCCTGTTTGAGAGCATCGAAATTATTAGAAATTAATTTAATTCGCGAGATTACTACAGTAGTTTAATTGCGTTTATATAGTCCGGAAATTTTTCGGCGCAGTTTGTTGGACTACAGGTGTGGTATATATGAATACAAGTGTAGTATATATGTTAAGTACATATATAGCATATTTAGTAATTCAAGATTGAATTATTTAAGCATTTTAAGATCTAGCTTCGACCAATATAGAGTTCTAGTTATTTCTAGTTTATCGATAAATATAAATTATCAGTGTTATAATGTGTATGTAAAACACAATTTTTAACACCCAAAAACAGTTTTTTAATACCCAGCCAACAGTTTAAAAAAATCAAAGATATTATCAATAATAAGATTGAAAGACCGCTAATGTTAAACATAATGCTTTAAATTAAGAAGCGCCATAACGATCAGAACGTTAAGATGTTGAACTATTGTAAATTCATTTAAGGGGGGAAATACCTTTACAACCTTAAAAAAATGCATTTTTTTTTGCATAAAATGTTAGTATAACATATGAAGAATATACTAACAAAATTTTAAATCGAAATTCGAAGAATTGGCGAAGTTATTGTGATCCTCTCTCTCATAATACTGGTGCAAGTGGCAAAAAAGTCAAGCCATCGGTGGAAATTTTGTGAGAATATCCTGTCCCACTGCATCCTGATGTTCAAAAACATATCCTGCCAATATACGAAAATCTGTCCAAGGAAGATTTACTTCAAAGATGCTTGGGTGGCTACACGCAGAATGCGAATGAAAGTTTTAACTCAACTGTATGGCGCCTCGCTCCAAAGCACCTACATTGTGGATTAAAAATTATTGAGATTGTACTTGGCTGCTGGAGTATTCAACGAAGGTCATTCGTTTATTCTGCGCATCATGAGTATGCTGGATATCATAATAGGTAGGCAAAGTAAATCGTACGCTAACGACAATGATAACCGGCGAGTAGCTCGGCAGGAGCGTCGCAGCTTGCTGGAGACAAAAGAAGCTCGTAAAGCCCGTCGAGAGCAACTTTTAGTGGAAAACAAGCTTTACGAGGAAGCTGAAGGTCTATTATATGGTCTTGGGATCGCAGACTAACCAGTAAGTCAATGAAATCATATAGTTTTTATCTTTCGAAACTTTGAACGCGTTTTTCTCAAAACGTCATTTTCAAAATTGGTGTACAAGATAGCTAAAAAACTACTCAACCGATCCTCTTCAAATTGAACATACAACTAAACTAAATAATTACCTTCTATCTTGTGAACCTAAATGTTTATGAAAATTATTTTAAAAAAGTACTTTTTTATTGCAAAATTCAACAAAAATTTTGTGAAAAATTCAAATTTTTTTTTCAAACATGCGTCATTTTTTCAATTTTCATTTTTTTCCACTTTTTTTAGGTTCACATAGAGCGTATACAATTATTAAATTAAAAAAATTTTTTTTGTCTGTTTCAGATCAATACAACAGGAGCTACATGTCCCACCGATTGGGTAATTCACATCGCTACCTCTGTATTTGCAGCGATGCAGCTTCAGTATTTTTTAATATTTTGTAATAAAAAAAATATTTTTATGTACTCAAAAGATAGACAAAGTGGCATAAAAAAATTTGAAACAATTAGCTAAATACTTTCTATTTAAAAAATTCTGGAAAATTACCATTTTTTTTTAGCCTCCTAAAGGTATTTCCCCCCTTAAATGAATTAATTTCAGAAATGATAATTGCGTGCCGATATGGTTGTCGGACTTTCAACGCAATCAAATCTGAAAATATTAATAATCCCCCCAAATTTTCCAACTTAAAAACTCTAATAAACTTATTGCGAAAAATAATGCCGAGACTCGGTTGTCTAAAGGCTTAGGACGCTCGCACGGAATGCAAGAGATCCGGGTTCGACTCCCGGCCGAGGCATTATTTTTCGCAATAAGTTTATTACAGTTTTTAAGTTGGGAAATTTGGGGGGATTATTAATATTTTCAGATTTGATTGCGTTGAAAGTCCGATAACCATATCGGCACGCAATTATAATTTCTGAAATTAATTCATTTAAATGAATTTACAATAGTTCAACATCTTAACGTTCTGACCGTTATGGCGCTTCTTAATTTAAAGCAAAGATATTATGTTCCAGCTGCATCCAGTTCGGATAATCAGCATTATAACGGTAAAATTGCTCATTAATTATTACGAAAATGGTAAAAGATTTTTTCCTTCAGTTTAATCTGCTTTATCTACCCATAAAAGATAGCGTGATGATTACCAGATACTTCAGTACGTATAAACAAAAAAATAAAAAGATAAAAAGATATGTATTATATAAACAATAAGATTTATCAGATAATATTTACCAGTTCATTCTGTTGAAAATAAACATGCAATTCGATCTGCAAATTTGAGACAGGCAATTTAGCATTGTCTAAAATTCTTTTGATTTGAACAATATTAAAATTGGATAAACCAATCGCTTTCGTACGTCCTTCCAAAACTTGATTCTCCATTGCTGTCCAAATTTGTAGATGATCCGTATCAGCATCAATCATTATTTCTCCTTTTTCATTAAAAGGATGAAATAACTCTTCTCCAGCATTTTGATATGCAAAGGGAGTGTGTACCAAATATAAATCCAAATAGCTCAAATGCAAGTTAGAAAGTGATCTCTTCAGCCACTTTTCTATATCTGCGGGTCTATTACCGGAGGGCGGTACCTAATAATTTTGAACATAAAATAGGTGTCCGGAAAATCGAGATCAATACTTCGGGAAGTAATTCGGGACCCAAAAAGCAGGAAAAAACGCTGTAAAAACATAGGTCCGGAAATAAGTCGTTTCCCAGTTATAATCACTTTTATGTTAAAAAAAATTGTTATTTATTTTTCATAATTACAATCGTAATTTATTTCATAGTGTTTTAACATAAATGACTACATTTCGGACTATTTTAGCGTTAACCAGGATGCACCACGTAGAAGCATAGTCCGCTTGGCATTCTTTTTTTTCATTTCTTTACTTTAAAATTTTTTTTACTTTATTATGAATTGTGATTATGAAAAATAAATTACAATCTTTTTAAATATAAAAATTATAACTCGGAAACGACTTATTTCCAAACCTATATGTTTATATAGCTTTTTTTCCTTCTTTTTGGATTCCGAATCACTTTCCGAAGTATTGACTTTGATTTTCCTGTATATACATATATAGGGGAGACCGGGTCTCGTTGGCACAAGAGGTAAGTTGGCATTGCGTTCCGTTTATGTATTTGTGGCAAAGAAACAATGGAAAAGTTATTGTAAAATATCTCTTTTATAACATAGGTACTTCTCCCTAAGTTTCACTTAAATTAAACAAGTATCACAATAGAAAAAGAAAAAAATCTAATTCAAGAGCAGGCAAGTAAATTTTTGATCGTTTCATAATTTCATATTAATGTCCTTCGGCTTGAGGAAACAAATCTAAGTGATATATTATTAGTTAAAAGAAAAGTGTTTGTCAATATACAACACGTTATTTTGAGTAACAATATTGAAAATAATTAGCTCGAATTATCTCGCTAAAATACATACTATTGTAGTTTAAAGATCATGCGGTGACGTGCGCATAAAGTTTCTTTCCTATCTACTGCATATAGATATTTATATTTATATTATGCTTAAAATAAAAATAGTAATTTGAGTGTCATACCTTAGTCACGATAAACAAATCGGATCGCTTGATCCTGCCAGAATCCAACCATTTTTTTAAACAATTACCAATGATTTGCTCATTTTCGTATACAGTAGCGGTATCGATGTGTCTATATCCCGCTTGTAAAGCTGTATCCAGAGTTGCTTCTAGCTCTTCTCCGCTTGCCTGTATTATAAACATATCTTTATAAATAAAACAATAATCTTTATTTTAGACCGCATATGTAAGAACACAATCAATTAGTACCTAAGTAGCCTAGACGGTCGAAGCTAGATCTTTAATGCTTAAAATTATTCAATCTTGAATCACTAAATATACTATGCATGTACTTGCATATATACCATATTTGTAGAGGAAAGTCACCGATACTGATACAAGTCTCCTAAAGTGACACCCCTTTATTTCTCAGAAACTAACTATTGCATTTTATTAATATTAATAAAATCATGATTTGATTATAAAATTATGATCTAATTAAAGAAGTACAAACTCATAATTCGTATATTTATAGCTTGTTTCTATACCAAATCAGCTAAAAACGAATTCTACAAATGCAAAAATAAAATTCTTACGATTTTCTTTTGCAAATTGCGTGGTTTAAATAATAGTGCCTATATTATTAATAATATTACGTCATTTTAAATGCTTATAATTTACTAAATCAGTTCTATTTATATTATTTTTTCTCTTAGTCTTTTCATAATACAATTTTAAATTTGAAATTGGGGTGCAGAGTAAACTGACACACCTGTCTGTAAAACAGACTATTCTTTATATAAATATATACTTATTTAACCACTTATTTAAGCTAACTTAATCTTTATAATAGTGCTTTATAGTGTGAAGGCAATCGTGCATATATGGAAAAATTCTTGAAAAACTTTCGCATTACATATTTGTATCTTGTAAAACAGCATAAAATATATATGCATATAATTCAATAAAAATGTTTTATAAAGTGAAAAGATTCTGGAAAATCTTATATACATTCATTTGTAGGTACTTTATACAGATAATGTTTGTAAAATAAAAAAGAATATGAATACGTAGCATTACTGCCTACTGTGTCAGTTTTGGAACCCATTTTGTCAGACGCTCATTTTTGCTTACCTTACGAAAAAATTAATTATTGTAAAATTGCAAACAGTATTATAAAAACTGCTTATACTATCTGATAGAAGATACTTCAGTTTGTACTTACGTTTTTAAAGTTTTATTTTTATCTTTTGTTTAAGAAATATTGTCTAAAAACAAAGTGGTATATCGGCGACTTTCCTCTAGTCTTTCAATCTGCGCGCCAAATTTTTTCCAGACTATAATCGCAATTAAACTACCATAGTAATCTCGCGAATTAAATTAATTTCTAACAATTTCGATGCTCAATTAAACATCATATCCTAAAGATGTTAATATGTTTGAAAAACTAATTAAATTTATTGCGAAAAATATTACCTCGGCCGGGAGTCGAACCCGGATCTCTTGTATTCCGTACGAGTTACGTTATAAATAAACAAACAATACACACAGGGTATCTTCGAATAAGAAAGTTCCTTTTTATCTCTTTGCGAGACAAAAAGGATAATATGATATTAGACTAACAATAAGTGGTTTAAAAGAAGCACAGTAGTTACTTATAAAAATTATTTATATCAGGAGGGGCTTTTCTTGCGTGCGTGTGTATACGGGTGTTTCTTAAATACCGCCCACTAACCATATAGCGCTATTCCTAATAAAAAATTGAGTCGATAAGTATTAGGAAATTTTTTTTCTATAGTGCTTACTGAAGCAGTCATTATTGAGTAAAGATAATCCAATCGACATCGTGCTTTATACGGACGCACATCCGTGAGCCGCGCGTCTAGTAGTGTGCGTGAGCGCTTCGCCGCGCCGCTACGCTGCTGACTTCGCCGCTATCGCGCTTAAAATTAAAATTACGATCTTCGTCAATCAATAAATATTATGTCGCGATAATATAATAATTATACAAATTAAATACATAATAATAATTATACGAATTAAAATTATATCATAATAGACATTTGTAATTATTGTCATGTTACGGAATAATTTTAATTCCGGATAAAGATATTTTAATTTCTCAAACCGTTAATAACGATATGTATAAGCCACTTTATTTTGTAACAACATAAAACGATATTCTAAGATTGAAGAACTTAAAATTCTAGTTGCCGGGTTGTTATATAATAATAATAATTCAACGAATTTTAATTATGTCAAGACATAGCAAAAATTCTATATGAATTAAAATTATGTCATGACATATGATAATTTTAAATTTTTATTACGTCTCGTACATAATAATAATTTAGTTAATTAAAATCTAAACTGGCATAAAAATAATTTCTATTATGTGTTGACATAATTTTAATTTTTAATTAATTCAATTACTATGTTATAACATAATTTTAACGTGGCAGTTAAGGATTTGAGTTCTTTAATAGTTTAAGAATATTTTATCCTATTAAAAACCCCCCAGAATAGCTTGCATTTTATTATTCGGGATTGTAACAATACTATAAAATTCAAATTCCTTTATTCGGAATTAAAATTATGTTCCAACATATTTTTAATTCTTTAACAAGAATCGTAATTACTTTTAGACAATTGTTTTTTAAGAATTTTACGTTAGAAAAAATATCTTTTATGTCAGTAAAAATAAACTTATAAGTCGGCAGCTAGAAATTTAAACTCTTCAGTCTTAGACTATTTTTTATGTTGTTACAAAATAGTGGCTCATGGACGTCGTTATTAACGGTCTTTGAGAAATTAAAATATCTTTGTCTGGAATTAAAATTATTCCGCAACATAACAATAATTACAAATGTCTATTATGATGTAATTTTAATTTGTATAATTATTATTATGTATTTAATTTGTATAATTATTATATTATCGCGACATAATATTTATTCATTGACGAAGATCGTAATTTTTCGCTTTACATGCGAGGACATTGCGCGAAGTCAGCAGCGTAGCGGCGCGGCGAAGCGCTCACGCACACTACTAGACGCGTGGCTCACGGATGTGCGTCCGTATAAAGCACGATGTCGATTGAATTATTTTTACTCGATAATAACTGCTTCAGTAAGCACTGTAGAAAAAAATTTCCTAATATTTATTATCGACTCAATTTTTTATTAGGAATAGCACTATGTGGTTAGTAGCCGGTATTTAAGAAACACTCTGTATACATATATATATAGTGTATTTTAAATATATGTAGCATATTCAAATACAATATAATTAAAATATGATTTTTGCCTGATTTTTTCGTATTTATTTTAATAAAAGGAGTCTGTTTTAAAAAATTTTCTACTAAATTTTTATGTAGTAGATTATTTTGTTGTTTTTTAAATATAATTATGATATAAATAAATTTCGTTTGAATTATAATACAAATTTACTTCTTTATAAACTTACGTTCCATGTCCCAAATCCTAAAATAGGCATTTGTTGCCCTGTTGGCAGAGATACACTTGAATTTTGTTGAACCATATTCAATGTGCTTTGTAACAACGAAGAAACCAGACTATATGTTTTAAAATCGGGATGTGCTATATTACTGTATTCCACCACTCTCGTACTCTACCATTACCTTACCTTACTCTTTCCATTGTAATTCACAACTTTCACCATACTATATAGCTATAGCACAGTATATATGTGTGCTATATATAGCGCAATTCTCCTGATTTTATGTTGGCCAAACCATGAAGTAAGACTAAGGAGACCTAACTAGATAGGATAGGGAGAAAAAAGTTGGTCACGAAAAATGTTCCGTGTACTGCCATGTCCGCCGAACGGAATAACTTGCAACATTCCATCGCCATATTGAATATTTATGCGAATATATATGTGTGCAGTATACTTGCGACTGTCATACATATGTGTATTAAATACGTGTCTCCTAAAAAGTAGAGTAGCTTGCCCTCCTAAAATCTTAATAAAAATATACCCATTCGTCGCGTTTTCACTCAAAACGAAAGAATCTGTAAGAAAAATGTGGTGATCGGCCTTGTGAACCGAGTTATTAAGCGTTAAAGTTCGAGACTACAGGTTAGGATATTTGTCATTCCGAAAATAATGGAAAAAAAATAAAAATAAATAAATAATGGAAATTGACAATAATGGACCCAATATTCATATAAAAATAATATATTTTATTACTTTTTAGCTTTTGATAAAGAACGATAATGGAAGTTCGTTCGTTTTGAGTGAAAACGCGACGAATGGGTATATTTTTATTAAGATTTTAGGAGGGCAAGCTACTCTACTTTTTAGGAGACACGTATTTAATACACATATGTATGACAGTCGCAAGTATACTGCACACATATATATTCGCATATTCAATATGGCGATGGAATGTTGCAAGTTATTCCGTTCGGCGGACATGGCAGTACACGGAACATTTTTCGTGACCAACTTTTTTCTCCCTATCCTATCTAGTTAGGTCTCCTTAATCTTACTTCATGGCCAAAACGGAGTGCGCGTGCATGGAATAAGTAAGTTGCCCCGTCTCATTTCCTCCTTCTTTATTGCTCTCTCTCTATTTAAATGACCGTTTCAATGGCTGTGTTCAGCAGACTCAACAGTTTTGCAACC